GTTTATAATTTCATCCAAAGTCAAACCGCTATCAACAATCAAAATGTCACAGCTTTTAATGACATTAGCTCACGAAGTTAACAAATTCCACGGGGACATCACAACAAGAGAAGGAAAAATTTCTCGCTCAACCCCTAGAAAACCCTAGAGGTCAACATGTCGTTGAGTCATCGGAGCCCATAAAGGAGAGTTGTGAGCAACTCAAGGCGGTCACCATAGACTTGATCAACTATTTTTCATTCCTCCTCGTAATGTACAATGATTTGGTTTGACTAGGTTGAGTGTGGACATGGTTGTGAGTTCATGATACACCGTAAACTTGTCACGGGGTATGCTTGAATCTTTACCTCCATTTTAGTCCCTCGCTTCCTATGAATCAATCAAACATCTAGGCACAATTGGAGGAAGTTTTGGGGTTGATTTGGCATTCACATTGGAATGACCTCTTTGGATTAGCCAAAACTTGTTCCCATTTCATTCTCATCAAAAACACAATTCACCAAAACTCAAACTCAAATATTTTTACACTTTCTTTTTTCACCAAAATCACCTTCAACATAATTCCCTTCCTTCCCTAAGGAGACGACCTTGGAATACAAATTTTAAGTAAAACGCGGCCCTTGAAAGTCTCTCTACACTTGGAGAGTACTTTTGTACACACACATACATTTGAGGGTGATATGCAAAGATTAGGGCATACGACGAATAAAACTAAGCAATGACCTTGTCCCTGTCCCCGACACTATCGTCCACCTCTAACCAGCGATCCAACTCGCACATGGCCTATATCTATAATTGTAGCATCCTATGTCATTCTCTCCTCATCTAACAATGGATCTGGTACAAGAGGCTATGCAAAAGGGGTAGGAGAGAATGTGAGTGATGACCTCATGGTAACACCTGTTGACACTACTGGTGGAGTGGAAATAGGAACATCCACATGTGTATGACAAGGTGTCATTGTAAATATAGGTGCTAGTGGCGGTGTTTGACGCAACTGCAGTCGAGGTCAACATGGGTGCTGGTATAGGTGTGGACGCAACTACAGTCGACGTCGGGATGGATGCGGGGGTTGGTGTGGGTGTCGATGCCGAGGTCAATGTGGGTGCATGTACCACTGTAGGTGTTAGTGTTGGTGTTGGCTCAAGTGCAGATGCAGGTGTCGGTGTCAATGGCATTGTCGATGTAGGCGCATGTGGCGGGGTGGGTGCATGAGCCGGTGCCAATGCCGATGGTGATGTAGGTGCCACTGTCAGTGTGAGTGTCGGATCAAGTGCATGTGTCTGTACATGTGCATGTGCCACTTTCGGTGTGGGCACTAGTGTTGGTATGGGTGCATGAAACTGTGTCGGTGTTGATGTAGGTGTCGATGTGAGTGAAGATAAAGAAGTAGTCCAATCATGGTGAAGATAAGAAGGTGCCTGTGCAGATGTAGACAGAACATCAGCTGCTGAGATTGAAGCGTCGACATGTAGTCGATGCTTACGGATGGATGTCAAACATGAGGAGCTCATATCTGTGATACGCCCAATGGTGTCCATGCAACGTGTCAAGTCCATTCTGCCCTCTTATGTACCACGTGTAGTGTGATATATCCGTGTAAATGTCTCTTCCTACAAAAACATTACAACATATCAGTAATTGTATTAAACAGTTAGTAATTTTTGTCCTTAAAATTCAATTATAAAGCATTTAACAACATATTACCAGTAACTCTATGTTGCTCCTAACTAGCTGAAAACCGACAGTATGCCTAGAGATGGGTGGACCAACAAGCCGCCGAGTGATGTGACGATACCATTGCATATATGCATCGGTCGGATCCATCGGTGCAATACTCAAGTCTCCAGTAACAATGATATCTCTACAATGTGCCCATATCTTTGTGTACACCTGATGAACTACAGACCAATCCCAACCAAGTCTACCTCGACAGTTGACAGCATGCAAAACTCTATTGGTATCGCATGGTAGTGGTATGCACTGAATCAGGGCAAATTGTCGAGTAACTTGATCTGAAAAGTGTCACTCCATGACATCGAAGCAACAAAGAAATAAAAGAAATAAAACCATATAAAAAAAATTAAGAAATAAATCCATATAAAGAGTTAAGAGGTGACATCTATTGAAGAAAAGTAGAAGAACGTTGAACATATTCACGAGAATTAGCATTCAAACTTTATACAGTTGAACATCGTGAGTTTCAATATAGTTTACAAGTTTTATACCCTTATCAATGCACGTAATGTGGAGAAATCGTGGGAGAATTAGTTGAGTAATCTAAGAAGCTTGAATATCTTGTAATTTGTCATAAAATTCCATAAATATAAAAGTTGAGTATAAACTTGTTATACAGTTGTATATTATCAATTGACTGTTTTTTATAGGAATTGGATCACAAATCAAACCGACAAATAGATCGGATGAATGAGTTATTGGTTCATCCCTTGGGTTAACTAGTTGGATTGGTTATATATTTTAAAAATATAAAATAAATTATAATAATTTTTGACATTGACATCCCACCATTGATCAAAGTCATTAGTAAAAGAGTTTTAACCCATAATTTAACCAAAGAAATTTATGGAATTGTTTTATTTGGAAAAAAAAACCAAGAGATGGGTAAAACAGCAAAATTAGCAATTGTGAGCGAACCATGGGCATAGGAGTTCACGATAGGAATGTTGGTATTAGCAGCTAAGCTAGTTCACAATAGGAATGTGTGTCTCTCTTGAATCGACAATGAATCTCAATCAATATTGAAAATAACATAGGGAAATTAACGATGATGGTCAGAACTCGTCGAAAGAGGGGGGTAACACTACTATGGTCTTCGTTTTTGCGAAATCCTTCGTTGGGTAGTTATTCGTCGAGGAGTGGCTCCAGCGGAGGACTGGAGAGGGTTGAGGACTAGAAAGGGATAGTGAGGTTTCTGTCTAATTTTGAAGTTGGGAGAGAAAGAGAGTTATGGATTTTCTGAATTTGGGGCAGGGTAAATTTGATTTTAATTCGTATAAATCGTCATTTGAAATGAAGACTTGAAAATCGTCATTCCAAATGATGACTTTAAAATCATTATTCCAAATGACATTTTATGGTTAGAGTACAGGTTTATGCCCCAATCTCCATTAGGAAACCGCTTATCTCTTCATCACTATAAAATCATCATTTCAAATGACGATTTTAAAAAACTCTTTTACTTACATTTTTATATAGTATAAAAACGTCATTCCAAATAACTCTTTTAAACTGTGAATGTGTCATTTGGAATGACGTTTTTAAAGAAAAAATTGGGTTTGGGATATAAGTTTAAAACAGCCTAGGTATGAGAATAAAGTCTGTGAGGCGAATGGTTTTGGTTAAAAGCTCCTAAAGAGGGGGAGGAACTTACTAATCGTTACTAGGAGGGTCTCGCATAATAGAATATCCTATTCGAGGCATAAGTTTCAGCCGGCCATGGAAATAGATATGAGCGTACAATTATTCAAAAATTTGACACCAACTTTGACTCCGAATCAGTTCTGTCTCGGTTGGAGTCAGAATTTAATGAAGTCGAAGTCATAATTAAAATTTAAAATAATTTTGAAAAAACTCTAACTCCAACTTTAATTTTTATTAATTACTATTTTTATATATAAATTATATAATATATTATTATAAATCTAAAATTATATCTTATTAGTTATTATACTCTAGATTAACGGTGATAATTCTAACTCATAACTTGTCAATTCGCTCAACCCGTTCAAAAATTAATAAGTTAGGTATTTATTTTTATTAATATGAGTTAAAAATAGGTTAAATATTGTTGTTTGGTTTAAATATATGGGTTGAATCGGGTTTAAAATAGGTACCATTGAGTTTTTCTTCTTAAAAATTAGGAAAAATTATAGTCATATCTCCTAAAAGTTGTCACTTAATCACTTAAATTTACCAACGGACCTTTGGTCCAATGGTACTCCTTACCTTGTCAAGGTTTTACTTTCTTGAGGTCAAGGATTCAAATCCCCCCTCCCCCTCCCCCTCCCCCCCCCCCCAAAAAAAATACTTAAATTCATAATATTTAAAATATTACATAGATACCCCTTCACACTTAGACTCGGTTAATGTCTTTAGTATATTCTTTTCTTTTTGGTACGTCAGAGAGTTAAACAAAAATCTAAATAGAGTTCCTAAAAAAAGCTACATCAATCAAGTCAGCCAACACATTCTTTGCTAATTGTGGAGGAGGGGTATCAAGCTTGACAAAATGATCTAGTTGTTAGACACCCATGTTAGCCACAATATCAGGCACACTGAGAATCATCCATTTCTTTAGTATATTCGTTAATAAATTATACTTGAATCCTATAAAGTTTGTAGATGTAACACTTAGATTCCTCAGGTTTAAATTATTATACTTAGATAAAAAAAAATTCTAATTAAAGATAGAATATCAAATATTTTAAATTTTACAACTAAAATTTATGTTTTATTATGTCATTTAATGAAATAAAATAAAAAAAATCAAAATTTTCTTTAAAAAATCATAATTAGTATTATTATGTCAACATTTGAAAGGCTTACACGTCAATTGGTTGACCTTCAATCAACTGAAAAAGAAGTCGGAGATCAAAGGAGAGATCCAGATGTCTGCTTTTCGATGTCTAAGTCATTAATTTAGTCTCTTAGCTATTAATTTTGTCTCTATTTAGTTTTTTTTTCCCGTTCATTGTCACTGTTAGTTCAATTATGAAATGAATTAAATTGAGAAAGTTTCTAGTTGATCTACCGATAAAAATTAATGAAATGACTTAATTAAGACAAAATTAATAATTATAAGACTAAATCAGAATAATTAAAAGTTCAAAAATCAAATTAAAATTGAAGATAAAATTTAACGATCAACAATGGTTTTTACTTTTTACCACAAAAAAAAAAAACGTGATGGGCGGCTCTCAGGCTACGAGAACGGATTTGGGTCCCCAAGTTCCTATATGGTATTTAAATTTCTCGTGCACCACAAATGGGTGCCGAAATAGCCGCACTGGTCTCATCCCGCTTCTCACTTTCGCTCTGCTTCTGGAGAACTGAGTAGTAATCACTCCCCATTCGAGCTGTCCCAGGACAAAAATTCATAGAAGACGATTTGGAGGTAATTTCTCTTTGTATCTTTCTCCCCAAAAGATTACATTACAAGGACTACTTTTATCCGTCCGATTGTTGAACTTTATTGGTGAAGTCTTTTTGTATTCATTTGCATAAAAGAAAGCGGACTACTTTGCATGCTCACTATATGTTTGTGAAAATTCTTGTTAGTTACATCCTTGCATATTGTGATTTGATGTCATTTGGGTATTTGTTTTTGGTGTTATTTTCAGTGGAATTTTTGATTCATCTCATTATGTCACCTGAATTACATGAAATTTGTTTTTTTTGTGATCATAATTTATGTATGGGTAGCTAATAAGGTGGGTTCAATCTTTTTGTAATTTGTAAAGAACCTAGTAACTTTATATAGCAAACCATCCTTAAAGGATGTTGTTGTGTGTAGTTTTTCTTTTAGCTTATTTGGGTTGTACTTTTTTCCTTATGTGAATGCAAAGAAATAGCTTGCTTGATGCTCGGCACATGGCTGTGCAACTTTGGGCTGATAACTGCAAGGTTGTGGTCTTCGGGTTCGGATTACAAGGAGGTGCCCAGTTTGTGCCAGAAAGGTTGAATGTTACGTTTGCACTGTGTTCACCCCTTCCAATTCCTGATAGCATCGATCAATTGTGAAGCCATAATTTCAAATAGGGGAACCAATTTAGAGTATGAGAAATAAGAAAATGGATTTAGGTTGCATTACTTTGATCACTTGCTTAGGGGATCACTTAAAAGAAAAATGTAATTTCACAACACAAACTTGTATGAGACTGAGCACTGCTCTCAGTTTCAGTTAACGGAAATCCTTTGGATGTTACATTTTTCTTTTCTGGTTCACCCATTCAGAAAGGGAGCATTATGGAGTGCTCTAAGGAGATTTGTAAAAAAGATTCCCAATTAATTAGTGGGAGAAGGCCCTTATTTTAGTAGATATCTAAGCTCAAACATTTAGAGTCAAGTGCGTAGGCCATGTCATCTCTTTCAGCCTTAGAAAATGTTGGCACATAATTTATCATGCTTAAAAATCCCCCAAAGGGCCCTTGAAGTTCATCAACACATCAGATAAAGCAGTATATACCTAGGTTAGTGTATCATATCTGACTTAAAAAGAGCTGCTTGTGCTGATGATTTGTAGCATTTTCGTCCCCTTGATTTTTTTTTGTTTGTAAGAATGGGTGTCAAAGAATTCTTCTTAAGAATGCGGTGCCACTTGGGGTGAGTCTTAATGCAACGGTAATGTTGCTTTATTGTTATCATGGTCTCGAATCATAGAAATATACTTTTTGTTACGTACATCTGACCCTTTCCAGAACACGTAGTGTCGGGAGTTCTAATGCTGATAGAACCTACATCGCTAGGGGCCAGATTCAGGATTGAGCTCGCAGATTCGTCATGACTGTACTCTTTGGGGCTTAAATCTTGAGTTTTAATCTGCTCAGTTAAGCATAAGCACCCATCAGTTCTGGGTCATACTGCCTTCTCCTACTACTGTTTTTTAATCATGAATCTTAAATAATTTCTTCAATGGTTTGCGTCTCTGTTACTTTTTTTGTATTCCTTCACCTTAAAAGTCACTTTTTGACGGGATGATCCTTACTGGTCTTATTTTGATCACATAATTTTCTTGCATTTTTACAAGATTCTGGACAGCATGTAAAATCTAGAAAAATATGTGGTATTTTTAGTTCTCACTAGGTTGTCTTAGATTTTGGAAAATGTCCACTGGGTCTGCCTCTCTCAACAAAGAAAAGAAAACCCACAGAGCTCAAAAAAGAGAAGAACCACTAAGAAAATGTGCGTGATTTTAGATTTTCAGAAAATGTGTGATGCATTATGTACAGAGATCAGCATCCTTCCCGAGAAATACTGTCATAGATGAGATTTAACCAATAATATTATGATCTTTCATCTCATGTGCTGATTTCAACTTGGTTGGATGTAATATGGTGGTTTTTCGTTATTTCTTACTGATATGACACAGGGTGTTTATAATTTTTCAGTTCTGTTTCATATTTTTGTTTTCTTGGTAAGACAATTATTTTTCATGTTAAACAACATACTCTCTTTTTGCAGGTTCAATTATGTGAACACTGAAAATGGCTTTGTCTCTACCATTGTCAAACCAAAGTGATAGGTCCCAAATTCTGCTCACTTCAAACTTCCTCCCACAAGCACCTCCACTGAAACCTAATCCCTGCAACAGAGTTCGTAACTACAGCAGCAAAGCCAAAATCCCATCTATTAATGTTGCCTATTCATCTAAACATGTTCGTGCTCCACAATTAGACAATCATGTGGTGAAGCAGAACAAGATACGTTTTGTGTTGAAGTTGAAAACCCTTCTCCTTTCAAAACCAAAACACTATATGCCGCTCCACATTCTATCTAAGTGCCGGTCCTACCTATCTTTGTCGAAGCCTCACTCCATCCTTTCTATGATCCATCGTTACCCATCCATATTTGAACTCTTCACAATACCAACGCCCCCCACACCTCTCAATGCAACAAAATCAACGTCTCAACTCTGTGTGCGCCTTACTCCAGCTGCAGAAGCCATAGCGACTCAAGAATCCAGCCTTAAATCAGCTATGTCCATGTCCTTGGCCACCAAACTCCAGAAACTTCTCATGTTCTCTTCTCATCATCGTCTCCTCTTATCAAAGCTGGTTCACATTGCCCCAGATCTTGGCCTACCCCCTAATTTTCGATCTTGCCTGTGCAATAACCACCCAGACAAGTTCAAAACTGTTGACACCTCCTATGGCCGTGCACTTGAGCTTGTCTCGTGGGACTCACATCTGGCCAACCCTTTATCTTCTCCTGGAGATAAGTCCCTTGGGTTGATAATAAATAGGCCCTTGAAATTCAAGCATTTGAGACTTCGAAAGGGGCTTAATGTCAAGAGACATCATCAGGAGTTTCTGATCAAGTTTGGAGAATTGCCAGAAGTGTGCCCGTACAAAACTAAAGTGGGAGAGTTGGTGAAAGAGTCTATTGAGGCTGAGAAGAGAGCTTGTGGTGTAGTGAGGGAGGTCTTGGGAATGATGGTTGAGAGGAGGACCTTGGTAGATCACTTGACACATTTCAGGAAGGAGTTTGGTCTGCCCAACAAGTTGAGGGGCATGCTCGTGAGGCACCCAGAGTTGTTCTATGTCAGTTTGAAGGGGCAAAGAGACTCTGTCTTTCTGGTGGAGGCCTACAATGATAAGGGGGTACTTCTGGAGAAGGATGGAAGTTTATTGATAAAAGATCACCTGATGGAGTTGGTTAGAGAAGGGAAGAGGATGAGAAGAGAGAGAAGAAAGGGTGACATTAACAAAAATGTTGATGACTGTGATGAAGAGGATGAAAACGATCTTGATGATATTTCCAATGATTATGATGGTTATGGTGATAGTTTGGATGATATATTTGAGTCTGAAGATTCTGGTGTGGAGGATGTTGACGATGGTGATTATGATGAGGATACCAAGTTGTGGGCACTGAGGGAGAAAGGGGAGTTGTGGACTGCCAAGGCTGCTGCTTTGCTTCACAGGGAGAGTGGACATTCAGAACCTTGGTAATATTATCCATGACCATGTGCATAACTTTTGGAATTGGTTTTGATGACGTTGCAAAGTAGTTATAACGTGGAGAAAAATTGCTTCGTGTAGTGTTCTTATCTTTGCCAAACCTAAGCGCTTGGTTGGTGACACTATTATGACTGGTGATGCAGCAAATGTTGAAAGCAGCAATCAAACTCACCAAGATTGATAGAAGTGGCACATTTTCTCCAACAAGACCTAAGCCCATTGTAAAAACTATAGTAAACTTAGTTTTTACATTAGTGCTACATCCTATTTGTTGCTCAGTGAACTCTTTCCTCAACTGTTTGCCTTGGTATGGGAAAGGTAACGAAGCTGGACTATTAGTTGACGTCCTTGGTCATAAACTGGAGGTAGACGGCCTTAGGTTGCGGCATTAGGATCGATTGGGAATATTGTATGGGAAAGGAAACGGGAAGTGCTCCTTCAAAACATAGGCTTGCTCTTCCTCCTTGGCCAGCCTTTCGTCTGTTTCAGTAGCAGCTGAGCTTTGCTTGAACACTCCTTCAGGGAAGACAAAAAAAATGGTATGCTACAATTATGTATCACAGGAAGCAGTATATAGATGCTTGCTTATAAGTCATCCAACTTTAGTGTGAGTGTACATGAAATCATCTCCTTCAATATCAAAATGACAATGGGGAATGTGTCACATATACTACTTCGTAATAGAGGTTCTCATGAGTCCTTGTGAGTTTACTACCAATTAATGTGCTGCCACAAATTGGTGCACGTCCACTGGGTGGCAAGCAATTCTCAGTGTCTTCAGCAACTTTGTGATTTATCTGTATATACTCACCATCTCCAAAAGACGGTGTGACATCTTCTGGTAACTCAAACAACTCAACATCCTTTCTAATTTCACATATGCTCGGGAAATCATGCGTAATAAATTGTATATTCCAAGACTTCACTTCAGTCCTATCCCCATCTAGATGTTCACCATACATCATATATCATTTGGAGTTCTAGGGCTATCAGATGAATGCTTGTTTGTTTGCCCTAGGCCAAGCTTACCATACTTATGGAAGGTGTTGTGAGCTTAACCTGTTGAATCCCAGTGGTGCAAATGCTCCAAATGAAGTTTTATGCCATTCCATAGTCCATATAGGGTATTGGGCCTAAATTTACTTAGAACTCGGTGAAGGATGTAGGCTCTAGTCAATAGAGCATGCCCAAAAGATTTATTGGGACGTGGGTTTGTGCCACCATCGACCTAACTATCTTAGTAAGGTGCAATTCATCGCTCTACAACACCATTATGTTGTGGAATCCTAGGTATCATAAGCTTCATATATATTCTATTTTTTCCTCACAAGAGTTCTTTTAATTGCTTATATATATAATCATGTCTTCCATTTGGTCGGATAGTCTTTACACTTCTTTCCTTTTTGATTCTCGATCTATATTATGATGACTTTGAAACACTCTTGATGGGTCAAACCCAAATAGCCCAATATATGTGAGAAGTGCAATCCCAATTAAGGAGCCAAACCTCATGAAAGATTCACCAAGCCCAACATAGTCCAAGACCAGTTAAACTCTCTGCTTGGCTACGTCATCAAGAGGGAGAGCATGGGAGCCTTACCTGCACCATAGAGGAAAAATTTCACCCTCACCTCATCTTTGACCGCATCTCAAGGATAGCTCCTCAACCTCTCCGCCCGTTGAGAAAAAGTCGTGAATTCCACCAGAGTAATCGCTTAGTTGATGTAAAATAGCCTCAATCTGTTAAGAGACCACTATAAATTGCACGTCCTACCAACACCTGGGGGCATCGCACTTTACTTGACCACAACTCTCTCTTCTCCCTCAAATCTTGTACTCTTTGCTCTCCACACTCTTGAGCTAATAAAAGCACTTTGCGACCAAAGTCATTCAAGAGTGGATGTAGGTCATGTTGACCGAACCACTATAAATCTTGTCTCCTCCAATTCTCTCTTTATTTTTACTACATTTATTATTTACACTTAACAGGTGGTGTGCAAAGTCATTTTGTGCATCATCAGCTTGGCGCCGTCTGTGGAAAACGACAAAATTCTCACTCCTAAACATTCCATTTGTTGAACTAATGTCGATCACTACCAAATCTATGAACCAACCTGAAGACAATCCTTTACGAGAGGAGGAGATTACTCCTCCACCTACCAACTCTGTTCCAAATGCTCCAGCTCCAAATCCACAGCAAATGCTGGAGACCATGCGACAACTGGTAGCCCAAAACCAACAGATACTGTAACTTATGCTCGCTGGACAAGGAGGAACACAACTTGGAGGTGCACAGCGTGGAGGACCCCAAGGAGCTCCACACCTTAGACCTCAAGGAGCTCCACGCCCTGGACATCAAAGAGCTACACGCCCTGGACATCAAGGAGCTACACGCTCTAGACATCAAGGAGCTCCACAACTTGCTACTCCCCATTTGGGTGCCCATGTAGGTTTGGGCGCCTCCTTTGGAGTCCCACACAGAGGAGTCCCTCATGAGGGACCTCCACCTCCTCCTCCTGATTTCCATGGTGAAAACCCTCATCTCCAAGAAGATGAGGGCGAAAATCAAAGCATGGAACATGGGAGTTATTTCTATGAACATTCCAAAGGAGCCCCCCAATCACTAGGACGGGAAAATTAAGGAAGTGCAAAATCAACTGGGTGACGTCTTCAATGCCATGAAGGCGTAGGGACCCGAGACAGTGGACTACCTCGTAAGGCGAACAGACACGCCTTTCAAACCTAACGTAGTGAACTACCCCCTCCCTCAAAAGTTCAAAATGTCATCCGTAGAGACCTTTGACGGAACGAAGAATCCACTTGATCATCTCAAAACCTACAAGTTCTTAATGCAACTGCACAACATCCCCGACGAAATTATGTGTAGGGCATTCCCAACTACCTTGAAGGGATCAGCGCGACAATAGTTCGCCAAACTCACCTCGACCTCCATAGGCTCCTTCGCCGAATTGAGTAGATCATTTGTGGCACAGTTCATTGGTGAAGGACGCCAACAAAATCCTATCACTCATCTGCTCAACATAAAACAGGGTCGAGACGAGAGTATGAGGAGTTACCTCACTCATTTTAACGAGAAGGTCCTCCAAATCGAGGTGCCCAATGACAAAGTCACCATGACCACCTTTCTGGGAGGCCTCCACTCTTCCAAATTCTTTTTTTCAGTAATGAAGCGACCATCAAAGAGCATGACAGAACTATTGGCAAAAGCTCAAAAATATATGAATACTGAGAAAATCAACAGGTCCAGGCGAGGTGAATCATCTCGCGAATCTCCAAAAGCTTGACTTGCCTCTGCATTGTTCTCAAACAGGCAGCCTCAGTATCCAGCTTAACGACTCTCTAATGAGTCGCCAAAAGCTTGGTCTGCCTCTGCACTGTTCTTAAACAGACAACCTCAATATCCAACTTAGCGACTCTCTTATGGGTCGCCAAAAGCTTGGTCTCTACGTTGTTCTCAAACAGGCAACCTCAATATCAAGCTTAGCGACTCTCTCGCGGGTCGCCAAAAGATTGGCTTCTGCACTGTTCTTAAATAGGTAGTCTCAATATTCAACTTAGCGACTCTCTCGCGGGTCACCAAAAGTTTGGCCTCTACACTGTTCTTAAACAGGCAGCCTATATCTCTAGCTGAGCGACTTTTTCACGGGTTGTCAAAATCATGGTTTCTGCGTTGTTCTCAAACAGGCAGCCTATACCTCAAGCTTAAAGACCCTCTCATGGGTCGCCAAAAGCTAGGTCTCAAAAGGTATAGCTCTCTCACGAGCAGTTCTCCAACTCTGTCTTTGCTCTCGCGTAAGCAGCCTATCTCTCCCTACAAGTAATTATGTGAGATATTTTAATGTTTGGAATAACATTGTTTTTGTCATCACAACCAGACTCACCCAAGGCAGCCAAGCAGAGGTGTCTGACGCTTTATGCTCCCCCAAACGAGGCAGTCCAGCACCTGAAGAGGTGTCTAATGCTATATACTCACCCAAACGAGGCAGCCCAGCATCTGGAGAGGTGTCTGATCCTATGTGCTCCCCCAAATGAGGCAGCCCAACACTTGGAGGGGTGTCTAATGTTCTATGCTCGCCCAAACGAGACAACCCAGCACTTTGAGAGGTGTCTGACCACCTTTGCTTATCCAAACGGGGCAGTCCAACGCTGTTTAGCCCTCCAAAGTTGCACAAACAGCTCCAAAGGCGCCTGATCCTATGTGCTCCCCAAATGAGGCAGCTCAGCACCTGGAGAGGTGTCTGATCTTATGTGCTCGTCCAAACAAGGTAGCCTAGCACTTGGAGGGGTGCCTAACGCTCTGTGCTCGCCCAAACGGGGTAGTCCAACGCTGTCTGGCCCTCCAAAGTTGCACAAAACAGCTCCAAATGCGCTTAGATCAGCGCCTGAAGTGGCACCTAGATCTACCCCTGTGCTCAGGTAGCCCCGACTGCACCTCCAGCTCCTGATACCCAGGCTGGCGCCCAGGCAGCCCTGGCTGCACCTCCAGCTCCTGATACCCAGGCTGCACCTCTAGCCCCTGATGCCCAGGCATCCCAGGCTGCACCCCCAACCCCTGNCTTGATGCCCAGGCTGGCGCCCAGGCAGCCCTGGCTGCACCTCCAGCTCCTGATACCCAGGCTGCACCTCTAGCCCCTGATGCCCAGGCATCCCAGGCTGCACCCCCAACCCCTGATGCCCAGGCATCCCAGGCTGCACCTCCAGCTCCTAATGCCCAGGCATCTTAGGCTGCACCTCCAGTCCCTCGCGTCAAAGTTGCCCAGCCTGCGTCTTTGTGCGCCCAAGCTGTCCAGCCTCCTTGCCTGCGCGCCTAGGTTACACAGCTCGCCTATCTACACGCCCAAGCTGTCCGGGACAACATTTTTAGCACCAAAGCTGTCCAGGACAGCACCTCCAACACCCAAATGGTCCAGACCAACCTCTAAACTTCCCAAACCAACACCTAAAGTGGCGCCCTGTTCAGCGTCTGCCTCCATGGAACCCACCACTGCAATGCCCGATGGACTAACGCGCCCAGGCTGCTCCATGCGCAACACCGGCGCCCAAAGACGGTAGCTCCGCTGCATGAGGCCTTGAACCACTATAAATTGCACGCTCTACTAACACTTGGGGGGCTTCGCACTTTACTTGACCACAACTCTCTCTTCTCCCTCAAAATTTGTATTATTTGCTCCCCACACCCTTGAGCTAATAAAAGCACTTTGCGACCAAAGCCATTCAAGAGTGGACGTAGGTCATATTGACTGAACCACTATAAATCTCGTCTCTTCCAATTCTCTCTTTACTTTTACTGCATTTATTATTTACACTTAACAGGTGGTGTGCAAAGTCATTTTGTGCATCATCAACTCTAATGCTTCAGACTTTGCGAAAACTCAAATAAAATTATTGAAATGCTAAAAATCATTAATAAGCATCCATAAATGTTCGAATGAACCGGATTCAAGGGCTGAGAAGTCCTTAAAACTTTGCCGAATGGTTTTTCGGATGCTTTTCCGGCCAAACTAGGTTTTCACATAGGAAGGATAACCTTGGCCTATGTAACCAAGTATAGGATCACACACCACAATATCATAATTAATTAGAACGAAAAAGTAGCGTTAATAAAAGAGGAATCTCGGGATGAACATCTAGTTTAAGGAAACCATCTCCCAACCATTCATCCAAGATAATAT